TCTATAAGACATAAACTGTTAACTGAGAAGTGTTAGTCTTGCCAATAATATATTGGAGTTAATGTTTAAAACAGAATAGAAAAAAATGCTGCAGAAAAATAATGTCCTTTTTTTTGGAAAGGAATGAGTAATGTTTGAAGATATTATGTAAGATATTAGTTTACCCATTGCTCTTTTTCATATTTGTGCATAATTCAAACTAAAAAGTGTATTGGTATTTTATTAGTAAACACTCCTGTTAATGTTTAAACAGTTAACCAGTATAATTTTAACAGGTTAAACAAACTTTTTGAAACAATATTTATATCCCTACTCTTGGTTATTTGATTTCAGTGTTAAAGCTGCAATAATTTGAATGAGGTAACATTAAACAACACAAAGATATAAATTCGCTACTGAAACATGTTTGATTGAATAATTTAAATTAAACAATTTTGGATTAAGAGCCATGCTTCTTGGAGACAGTAAGGACTGTAGATGCTGGAAGCTGGAGCCAATAAATGTGGAGCTGGATAAGCACAGCAGGTCAGCCAGCATCCAAGGAGCAGGAAAGTTCAGACCCTGACGAAGGATTTCGACCTGAAACATTGACTTTCCTGCTCCTTGGATGCTGTCTGACCTGCTGTGCTTTTCCACCTCCATGTTTAGTGACAAAAGCCATGCTTTGTTTTGGAGAGTGCAGTGCTGAAGCCTTCTACTGTTTGCTTGTTTAACAGATAATTAGATGATTGAATAAAATATATTTGTTTAATTTAATTTCCTCCATCCCTTTGCATTAATTCTATGTGCCTTCTGTTTATGCAGCAGCACTAGTAGATGACATTGTGTTGTAGCCCTGGATAGCTCAAGCATTGAAGAAACTTCTCAGCTCAAACAATAATCTAGTCATGGCTGCAAACATTATTAGTATTTTAAAATGGAGCATGATAATCCTAGAAAAACTTCTTCACTGTCTGCACAGTTTAAAAACAGTACATGGAGTACACAGCACAAACAATAGGCCATTCAGCTGAACTGATTTTTGGCACTCTTAAAACTTCTCTCTGACGAACATTGTTTACATATCCTTCTTTCCTTTCTCCCTCAGTATTTACCTATCTTCCCCTTAAATACATCTATGCTTGTTCCCTTACCTGCCCAGGCGGTAGAAAGGGCGGCATGGTGGCTCAGCAGTTAGCACTGTTGCCTCACAGCACCAGGAACCCGGGTTTAATTCCAGCCTCGGGCGACTGTCTGTGTGGAGTTTGCACATTCTCCCTGTGTCTGCGTGAGTTTCCTCGGTGCTCCGGTTTCCTCCCACAGTCCAAAGATGTGCAGGCTGGGTGGATTGGCCATGCTAAATTGCCTGTAGTGTTCAGGGATGTGTAGATTAGGTGGGTTATAGGGGGATGGGTCTGGGTGGGATGCTCCGACTGTTGGTGTGGACTTGTTGGGCCGAAGGGCCTGTTTCCACACTGTAGGAATTCTAAAAAAAATTCTATGAAGTTCCACATTCTTAGTATTCTTTGAGTAAAGAAGTTTCTCAGGAACCCTTCATTGGATTTATTAGTGACTGACATATTTATAGCCCCTAGTTTAGGTCTGTCCATAACTGGAAACATCTACCTATCAAACCTTTTGATAATCTTAAAACCTTATATCAGGCGACCTGACACAGTTATCATTTGAGAGGTGAACAGTAAAAGCTTTTGTTTTTTGCATCATTGAGTAAAACACATTTGTACCCTCTCAAGTACTTCTACATCCTGATATATTATGGACAATTGTTCACAATATTGCCAGTGTACTTGGCTTCTTTGAAGAAACATGAATCTGATTCATCTGGACTACCCAGGGTTTTATCCCCTCTATGTTTATCTCATTTACCTTCCCCATTTCTACAGATCTTTGCTTTGTTTTTGATTTATTCTTCTATCCAGTCAATTTTGTTAGTCCTCCTGATGAATATGGAAGTAAAGTGACCATTCAATATTTCTGCTGTTTTGCTGTCTTTAACTTGCAATTTATCCATCGTGGCCCTTAGCAGCCCAGCCTGATTTCTCGTTTGATACAGACAGCAAGATACTTCACAGTTTCTTTGATCATTTAAGTAACCTAAGTTGAATAAATAAATATGCAGCAAATGGGACAAAGATATCATTTGCTTTGTTGGATTACCTTTAATGACATTTTCAGCAAACTGGTGTACAGACTCAGTGTTGGCAAGATCTAATTCCCGAACAATGACTTGTTTATTCCCAGTGTCTTTTCGAATCTCATGGGCTGCAGCTTCTGCCTTGGTCAGATCTCTGCAGGCTATGATTACTCGAGCACCTGTGAAGAATCAAATGGACAGGATATCCTGCTTTAATTATGATTGCTAATTAACAGAATGGGAGGCACAGTAGCTCAGAGGTTATCACTACTACCTTACAGAACCAGGGACCCAAGTTCAATTCCAGCTTTGGGTGACTGTCTGTGTGGAGTTTGCACGTTCTCCCTGTGTCTCTGTGGGTTTCCTCTGGGTGCTCCGGTTTCCTCCCACAGTCCAAAGATGTGCGGGTTAGGCAGATTGGCCAATGCTGAATTGCCTCAGTGTCCATGGATGTGAGGTTGGGTGGATTAGCTGTGGGAAATGCAGGGTTACTGGGTAGGGTAGGGGATGCTCTCTGGAGGATCGGTGCAGACTGGATGGGCTGAATGGTCTCTTTCTGTACTGTGGAGATTCTATGATTCTGAAAACAAATCATATTTTTAGGTACTATTGATGTAGTTCGGTCCTGTATTGAAGTGTGAGATATATTACTGCAAGGGCATGTTTTGATAGCTGGGTTGAGGTGATTTTGCTGCTACCTCTACAGTAGCTGGTTTCCATACCAGAGACAGTTGCCTATGTCAGTTTGAAAACCAGCTCGAGAACAAGATGGAAAAAAGAAGCTAAATGCATTGGTTGTACCTTCTAAGTTGAAATTTTGTTCTGCTGGATGGTTTAAGTTGATTTTCTAACTGTGTGCATTTAGATAATTTATTTTTTTTTGTTGTTTTACGTCTTGTGTAGTAAACTTCTGCTCTTTGTTGAAGAAACCCTGCAACCTCATGTTATTGTTTGAATAACTGACCAAACATTTTTTAATCATAATAAATAACAACACCTGCATACAAGATTAGCTCATTTATTTCATGATTTTAACTTTCTATTAACTTGTGAATGGCCTGAGGATTTGTATCTCAACTATACACTCGCGCACACACCCTTTGGAGGAGATCCTTGGCTCTCCTGTTTATTCGGTGCATGTTCCCACATTTTGTATGAAAATGGCACTCTCATTTTCCCCAATGGCTGAATATAAACGTACAGGCCCATATGGCACTGAGCTAGACTGACCAGAGAGGTTTGCAGGTTTCATCCCTAATTCATGTCCCAGGTGAGGAAAACGGGAGCAAGGGCCTGGTTTCCAATATTCAGGCACCACCCCAGACTGGTAGGTGGGCTATTGGATCAGGATTAGTGTTCCAAACTATATAAAGGCAAATATAATGGTATGAAGAGAGAGCTGGCTAAAGCAGACTGGGAAACTAAGTTAAAAAGGCAGGACAGAAGAGAAGCAGTGGCAAACTTAAGAAAATAAGTTTTTGTCAATGAGAAAGAGACGTTTTGAGAAGGATGCATCATCTGTGATTAAATAAAGCAGAGTGGTATCAAATCAAAAGGAACTGATACAATTTGTGAAGGTCAGTGGTGGAAGATTTGACAGATTTTAAGAAACAGGAATGACTAACTTTTATAAAAAAAGAAAGTAGAGTATAAGTTGGTAATAGTAAAAAGAAAAAGATGAGTTTCTACAAATATTTGAAAAGGAAATGAGTAACTAAAGCAAATGTTGATTCTCTAGAGGGTAACTCAAGGGAACTGACAGTGAGAAGATAGGAAACGATGAAATCTTTGTATAGGTATTTTTGTACGTGTTTTCACCGTATAAAACTTACAAAACTTCTCAGACACTTGAAAGTCATGAAGTGAATGAAAGGGTGGAACTTAAAGCAATCGCAGTCACCAGGGGAAAAAGTACAGGGAAAGATATTCGAGCTAAAGGCTGACAAATCGGAGTTCACAAGTAGGGACGTCTTACAGGGTCTTGGTGAGACCACACCCACAGTATTGCCTGGAGTTTTGGTCTCGTGACCTAAGAAGGGATATACTTGCCATAGAGGGAGTGCAGCAGATATTCGCTAGGGATGGCAGGATTCTTGTATGAGGAGATATTGGTTCAACTGGGCCTGTATTCACTTAGAATAGTTCAGAAGGATGAGAGGGGATCTGATTGAAATGTATAAAATTCTAACAGGGCAGGGCAGGTTTTCACTGTTTGGGGGAGTCTAAAACCAGGGTCCAGTCTCAGGATATTGAATAGACCACTTAGGACTGAGCTGAGGAAAAGTTTCTTCATTCAATGGGTAGTGAACTGTGGAATTCTCTGCCACAGAAAGCTGAAGGCCAAGTCATAATGTATTCAAGAAAGAGATAGATACATTGTTATATTTTAAAGGCCTCGGGTGTTATGGGAAGAATGTAGGAGTATGGCATTGTGAAAGAAGATCAGTCATGATTGTATTGAATGGCAGAGCCAGCTTGAGGGGCCAAATGGCCTACTGCTGCTCCTAGTTTCTATGTTTATATGTTTCTACAGTAGTCAGAGATTTAAAAAAAAATGTTGAAGTTTTTCATGCTAGGGCTGTTACAGGCTTTACAATTTAGCCCACTGTGCTGCTTGTTTCCTGCTGTGTAACGGTTGTGAGGTTCAGCCTGATTGACTCAGCTTTGTCAGCATGTCGTGAAAGGAGATAACTACAATAGTGTTGGGATAGGAAACTAGACATTGGGTGCAATGTAAAAAACTTTTGCTGTTTTTTTTTTAAATAGCTCACATCTTGTCCACAGTAATACTTTTCAACCCATAATGCAATAGGATTAAAAGAGCAGAATGCACAATCAGAGGCAGATAAAAGTCTGGAACTTTCCTTGACACTTATCTGGATAAACAAGGCCAAACATTTCAATGATGGTAACATCTCTACCAGAGAAAAAACTGGGTGTTTGTATCTTCTCTATAACTTCACTGCTTAAAGACATTGAATGCATCAGGATTTGCTTGTCCACAATAAGGTGCAAAGATGTTTGCTGTCATATTTAAGTACTCCTACACTGATACAAGAATTGCTCAGCAAATACCTTACCTCTCCGTGCCAGTTCCCGTGCTGTTTCCTTTCCTATCCCAGTGTTAGCCCCAGTAATCAAGACAGTCTTTCCATCTAGCCTTGCATCGGATGTACACACTCCACCACCAGCACATCTCCTGCAAAACAATTGGAAAGCGTGATTTTATTTTTGAGTGCAGTTGCTAAAAATATGGAGTTTAGTCAATTTAACATTATTTATTTCAACTAACCTAACTTACATTCTATACTGAAACTCCCTACTATTAAAGCATGACCACAAACCCTCAGAGACTAATGAATAAGATAGTTGCATTATGAGGTGCTTTGGCATGATGATCTGATGGGACAGCAAATTTGAATCATTGGCAAGGCACTGGGGACACAGAAAATGAATTGTAATTATTTAACAGCTAGTGTAAGCCTGGACTGGTTCAGATCGCCTGAAAGGATGAGAGTGGAATTTGTTTTCCACTTTTTGGTTCTTTATCCACTCTTCTGTAAAATTTAGAATTTATTGTTGCGTGTACTTTTACAAGAAAAATACAATGAAAAGTGTTAAGTCACCTTACTGTGGCGCTTGTATTAATGACAGAAGTCATAAGCAACAATAAAAAGTAAATTTAAGAAAAAAGTTCATTTAATGGCTCCTGGTTTTGAAGGAAGCCGATCAAGAGACGAAACACACAGCCAGAATGAGACCATCAATCCATGAGGAGAACTCCACGCTGGGATGAAGCCGACATGCCGGGCCACAAGCGTCTGCTGAAGAAAACAGCTGCTGGGACACGACTGCCATCCTGGACGAAAAATGCCACGCCGGGCCGTAGGAATGCCAGGCCGAAAGCATCTGCCAAAGAAAGCGCCGCTGGAAAAAGATCGCTAACCTGACGAAGACGCCACATCGGGCCGTCGGAACACTGGGCCGGAAGCTTTTGTTGGAAATTAAGCCGGATCGCTGATGTGACCTCAACACTGGACAAAACCCCAGGAGACCGCTCCTCCACGCCGGGAACAGAGTGCCACTCCGACCCCTCCCCGTCGCTGACTAAGCCGTTAAATGAAGGGGTCTCCCTGGCGATTACATTTGGTGTGTGGCAGAGTGGAGGGGACATGTCTTAATCATGAAACTTCAGGCTTGGTCAATGAACATTAGTATTGATAGGTGGTAATATGTTCCTGCCTGCAATTTTTGCACACTTGTAACAAAGGTCTAGACTGTACCTTCGTTACATAAATGACAAGCAATTGCACCATTTAATGTAAAAATGAGCCTTGGAGATGAGGAAGTGGCATATTTAATAAGAGCAGTCGCCGGCTCTTAGTAGCTCTCAAAATTTTCTTCTGGTTTCGTAAACCCTTGATAGTTAAGTAGAAATGTTGCAATTCTTTTGGCCCTGCTATTGTTTGCTTATATAATAACTTGCATATTTATATAATGCTGTTAAATAGAAGAAACTCCTAAGATGCTTCACAGGAACCACATAAAAGGCAACATTAAGGTCGAAGAGGCGGGGATGGAGCCAGTAAAGGTGAGTGTAGGTAGGGATAGTAGGAACTGCAGATGCTGGAGAATCCGAGACAACAAGGTGCAGGGCTGGATGAACACAGCAGGCCAAGCAGCATCATAGGAGCAGAGAGGCTGACGTTTCGGGCCTAGACCCTTCATCAGAGTAGGGAGTTAGGAAGGGAGGACGGACAGGTCAAGGGGGCGGGATGAGGTTGGTCGGTAGGAGATGGAGGTGCGGCTTGAGGTGGGAGGAGGGGATAGGTGGGAGGAAGAACAGGTTAGGGAGGCAGGGACGAGCTGGACTGGTTTTGGGATGCGGTAGGGGGAGGGGAGATTTTGAAACTTGTGAAATCCACATTGATACCATTGGGCTGCAGGGTTCCCAAGCGGAATATGAGTTGCTGTTCCTGCAACCTTCGGGTGGCATCGTTGTGGCACTGCAGGAGGCCAAGGATGGACATGTCGTCTGAGGAATGGGAGGGGGAGTTGAAATGGTTCGCGACTGGGAGGTGCAGTTGTTTATTGCGAACCGAGCGTAGGTGTTCTGCAAAGCGGTCCCCGAGCCTCCGCTTGGTTTCCCCGATGTAGAGGAAGCCACACCGGGTACAGCGGATGCAGTATACCACATTGGCAGATGTGCAGGTGAACATCTGCTTGATGTGGAAAGTCTTCTATCCGTTTTATTGAGCTGACCTACGAGTTACAAACAAATGTTATTTGTACATATCAATAGACCAGAATAAACTGGTTCGAGTTTGGCGTTGACTCCCAGCAAGCCAGGCAGCATCTGGAGGAAAGGAGGATTGTCCTGAAGAAGGATGATACCCGAAACGTGGACTGCTCCTTTCCTCCAGCTGCCTGGCTTGCTGTGTTCTCCCAGCCTCCTGTTTGTCTATCTTGGATTCCAGCCTCTGCAGTTTTTTTTTGTTTTTTGTCCCTTACTTGGTGTTGACTCCTGCCTGATTTGGTGACAAGGACAGGATTGTGAAATTCCTTAACCAAATAAATTTGGATTGGATAAGCTTCCAGTGAGCCAGCAGTCAGACAATCTGTTTTTCTTGCTTAAAAAATAGTTTCAAAATTCTTTGTCTTGAACAATAGGCCAACATTTGGATTCAGAGAAACACCAGACCACTTTACTGAACTCTTCATCTAGTGTCCTGGGCTCTAAAGGAGAAAATAGAGCAAGTGTTTCAGGAAGAAGGAGGGAGATGACTCAAATGAGTCTGAGGAGTTGGATAGTTGGGATGAACACAATGCAAGTAATTACTTCAAATTGTGCCTGAAATCACTTTGGTTATGAGTTATAGTCAGAGAGACATATCTGATGAACAGGAAAATTCAATTGAAGGTCAAGATCAAAAATCAGTCCTGGTTGGAGAAAACTTCTCCTAAGACTCAGGCTAAGATGGTCAAGGTCCTTCTCCAAAGTTCTGAATGTTTGAATTAAGAAAGGAGGCATCTTCTGAGGAATAGGAAACAAATGGTTAAGTTAGATCTCTAAAGAGGAGGTGTATATAATTTATATGGAATTTTGAACATTGTGTAACATTCATTTAAGAAGAGAGAAGTGTAATAACATTTGCATATGTACATCTTAGAATAAACTAATTAGAGTTCAGTGTTGACTCCCATGTGCTACACAACTTTCTAGTCTGTCCTGCAATTATGTCACAAGGTGTAGTGAATCAAAGTAGAATTTATTAAGCAAAAATGGTAAATATACTTAACAAAAGGCAATTGTAAATATCTTGAGCTGATGTAAACTGCATCACAGTTGCAAATTATGCTAGCTACCTGTTTTAACGGTTTAGTTACTTCTCAGCAGACAAGAACTTAAGATTGTCTATTTAAGAAGGTGATTAAAATGGCATTCCAAAATATTAATCTTAATAATGTAAAATCCTCAGTATTTTTTCAAACACTTACAAAAGTGAAATGCAAAGGTATGACAGAGGGTATTCCATAGCTAAATCATTTTGTAGTAACTTCAATAAAGTCACAAATTTCTGTGCTCAATCTCAGGCTTGACTGTAATGTAGCTGCTTATCAACACACTATCTTGGAAACACTGGCCCAGATTTTCCAGGGAGAGGCAATCCCATGCAGATTGCTATTCTGGCCATTCTTTACCAAAGAAGGGAGATGCACATTCTGAGAGGAGATTCCACTCAAGGCTCTTTCAGAAATGCAAAGCATATTTCCATTCTCTCACTTCTTTCTTCATGTAGAACTGTCAGAGGAAGACAAATTGTCTCCTCTTCTCACTGCAGTCAGTTTTCAGATTCTGAAATGTAGAAGTGCTGGCAGCCACTGTGACACCTGTTCTTAAAGGGTAGGTGCAAAAAGTGTGTATGACATTAGGGTAGGAATGGTAGGTGCCAGATGGTGTTGGGGGGGGGGGGGGGGGGGGGGGGGTAGGATGCCAGGTAAGTAGGGTGCTGGTAGGTATAGTGCCAGTTGGAGAGAAGATGGGGTGCTAGATCCACGGAACCACTGTCACCTTACTGGGCCAATGGTTGAGTGACATTTGGAGAAAATTTGAATGAGGGCAGCAGAGTCGTACATGTCTCAAATTTAAGGTGGAAAATGAGGGCTGACCAGAAGTGCACTGAATAATCGAGTTGAAAAAGACCTACTGGTTTCCAAAAATCAAGTTTACTACTTCAATTTTATTTTTGAGAGATTGACAGAAATGAAACTTGACCCACGCCTATCTTACTTGTGGATTTTAGAATGCAGACATTGACAAACTATTAGGGTATGTGGGCTATTGCAGAACTGTTGACTGTCACTTACAGGAGTGGGGGACATTATGGTACAGTGGTAATATAACTGAACTAACAAAATTTGGAACTGAAAGCTAGAATTGATAACAGAGACCATACAGCTAACAACTGTTGTTAAAACTCATCTGGTTCTTTAGGGAATGAAATGTACCATCCTGGTCTGGTCTCCCTGCATGGTAAATTCACTCCAGACTCTCAGCAATGTGATTAACTCTTAACTGCTCTCAGGGGCAATTAGAGGTGGGCAGCAAATGCCAGCTTTGCCAGTGACACCGACATCCCACGAAAGAATTCAACAAATGGATGGAGAATGGGCTAAAACTTACCATATTTTGGCTAAGTATCAACTTTGTCGAGTTTCCTGGAGGGTCTCTCTCCACAAGGCCTGATGAGACAGCTCACTGTATCATCTGAAACTCACTTCATTCACCATTGACCATGACACCATAGTGCCCCTCTTGCCCAATAACCTAATTCTATCATTTCGCTACATTCCCATAAAAAAAAAACTTACCACACACCAGATATCCTGGAATGAACTGGCATCCCTGGCACATGTGCCATCTTTAAAAGGCCAGTGTGTGCCAGGACAAGCACAGGCATTCTAAAGTTTCCCTGCATAGTAAATAACATTTGGCCTGCACATGGTAGACAAGAGCTATTTGCAGACCAGGACTGGCAGAGGATACGAAAACCCCATATCCTGCAAGTCTGGGCTGAGCTCACCAGCAGCATCAGTGCAGTCTCCAGAGTTTGGAGGATCGCCCAAGGTCAGGAACAAGGTCAATGACCAGGCTTTGCCAGGGTAAGTGTCACCATCTTGCCTTGGCTGCTTCACTTTTCCTCTGTATCTCTGACCCACCTCTCACCAAGGCTCATGCTCTACCAGTGTCATATTGACTGCAATATTTACCCTCACGCGATCTCATCCACCAACTCTAAATGCCCTCTGCGCTGCCTGCCCACTCACTCGGAACACCTCACCGCCACCTGCATCGGGACTAACAGCTGTGCCATCCCACTCAACCCATCCTCTTCTCTCATTCTGGGAGAAAACAGTCCACAGTGTGTCCTACAAGTACAGAAGACATGTCCACAGTGTTGGCAGTCAAGCTGGCTGTAAGAAAGGCATTCCAATTCTGGTCTCCTGCTACAGGAAAGATGTTGTTAAACTTGAAAGGATGCAGAAAAGATTTACAAGGATATTGCCGGGGTTGGAGGGTTTAAGCTATAGAGAGAGGCTGAATAGACTGGGGCTATTTTCCCTGGAGTGTCGAATGCGGAGGGCTGACCTTATAGAAGTTTATAAAATCAGGAGGGCATGGATAAGGTAAATAGCAAAGGTCTTTTTTCCCCCCAGGGTATAAAGAGTCCAAAACTATAGGGCATAGGTTTAAGGTGAGAGGGGAAAGATATAAAACAGACCTAAGGGCCAACTTTTCCAAACAGAGAGTGGTGCGGGTATGGAATGAGCTGCCAGAGGAAGTGGTGGAGGCTGGTACAATTGCAACATTTAAAAGGCATCTGGATGGGTATACGAATAGCAAGGGTTTAGAGGGATATGGGCCAAATGCTGGCAAATGGGAATGAGATTAATTCAGGATATTTGGTTGGTGCAGACAAGTTGGGCCAAAAGGTCTGTTTCCGTCTGTATGCCAGCACCTCTCAAGAGGAGATGAGGTTGCAAATTGCCAAAACTGCTTCAAGTAACTGCCACCAGCTCAGGCACAAACATCTGTGTGGGAGCGTCAGCCAGATTCCAGTCAGGAAAACCTGCTGATGGGTACCTCATTGCCATGTCACTGCAGCTTAGCCAAGGGAGAAGTTCCCCAGGTGACTGACACCTGGAGGACCACCGCAGACCAGACCCCTGCTCAGCATTAGGCTGGAGAAAGCCCTGTGATGTCAGCAGAGACTTGGTCAGGATGCACAAGGAGGAACAGAACTCCCTTCTTCAGGGCATTGTAGGTCAACCTGAGCCGGTGAACTGCAGAGGTCCAGGAAAGCAGCTCACCACCACCTTCAAGGGCAACTAGGCTCAGGTAATAAATGTTGACCAGCCAGCAACACCCACGTCCCACGAGTGAATTAAACCAGAAAGAGCAGCAGAAATATATGTGAGAGATAATGGCTCTTCTTGCCCAGAGACTGCAGGAGTACAAGTATGCTGTGAGGAACCAGCTGCACCCATGGTCAGGACGGTGTGCGTCATGGAGACAGGACACTGTCAGTGCACCCCCAGCCAGAGAAAGCACATACAGACCCCTCTACGGTCTCCACTCAGGATACTGGGGAAGTCAGGTAGGCAGGTGCAGAAGTGTATAGACAGTTTGGATAGGGACTTGAGGAGGTGCAAAGCCTATGGGACTCTGATGGAGAGGGCTTCCAGGAAGACGATGTTTGGGGCCTCACTGACAGGTAAAACCAGAGCTTGGACATCACTGTTTGAGGAGCACTCGCTGTCAGCTTCAAGAGGTGACAGCATTCTATCCACATTGTCCATCCACTGCAGAGACAGGCGTGCAGGTGATCCCTGTACATAGTGTCACTGTATGTTGTTCACCTCCAAGCCCCAAACATTGTATGACATGGTCAGCAAAGCCAAACTTTGATTACAGAGGCCAGCAATGTCAAATCAACGTCTCTCCACCTGCACAAGTGATGCTGAGTGGTGCTGGAGATACCATTTTAACTGTGATGTTCACACTGCATACACAAACTGCATGCAAGGTACAGCAGCTTCTCAGAACCACGACTGCCCCACCCCGGAACACGCACATGGACTGATATCTGACCTTCGTGTGACAGTTTAAATAGGCTTACACCAGCAAACAGATTTAGTGGCATTCTCTGCACGATGTAACAAATGTGAGACTTCATTTAGGTAGTAGGAACTGCCGATTTTTTTCTGAAGAAGGGTCTCGACCCGAAACGTCAGCTTTCCTGCTCCTCTGATGCTGTTTGGCCTGATGTGTTCATCCACTCTACACCTTACTATCGGAGACTTCATTTACTTGTGTCACCAATTTTCTCTCAAATAGTAATTGGACACTCCTGAACACCGTGGCCACAGACCTGCCCGATTTTCCTGACTGTATTAGTGACAGCTTCCGAACTGGCCCTAAGGAGCCACAGGACTGACTGCGACCCACTCGTTGGTCTGCAGAGACGTAGATCCCTGACTAAGAGCACCTTGACTGGACGCGTGGTCGTGACCAAGCCCTGGGCTAATCTCGGAGGCTGCCCTCTGCTGGGCACCCCCTGACTGACAGCTGTATCCACAGACATCAATAAGCACCACTTCACCTACAACTGAGACATGGGAATTTGCTTGCAGCACATGCTGTGTGTATGCCATGTAAATTGCTAGCATGTGGTGCGAGTGCCATCTTTTCATAACAATGATGAAAGATGTTTGCCCCCTTGACCAGTAAAATAAGCTGCCTGGGTTTGTGACTGTGGTAAGAGGCAAGACAGAGAATGCTGTGAGCATCCAGGTAGGCACTCAGCACTCAGCACTCACCCAGTGAGCCTGAGCTGCAGCCTAGTACAGTGGGAGGATGGAATCTGAGTCCCCTCAGGTAGTCCCAAGAGGCTGGCACATATTGGATGCTAGCGTCCTTGTGTGTGGGGCGTATGCAGCTGAGATATTGTTGCCAGATATCCAAGATGGAGGCTCACGGGAATTGTTGGCATCTGGTTTCTTGCGGCAAGGAGAAGAATTCCTATTAATGGGGTGAGAATGCATATTAATGAGGCAAGAATGCTTATTAATAAGGCAAGAGTCATTGTTAATAAGACTTAATGAGCATTAATCCCTCTTACTATTCACCTTGCTGCTCCCAAGCAATAATCTCAAAACTGTTTGAAAATTGCCTTGCCTCACTTCTCATGCTATTTTCCCAGATTTCTCACCATGGCCAATGTTATTCAGATCTCTATAAGATTCCCCCCACTCGTTCTCTTGCAGCTTGTTCAGTACTTAATCACAGAAAACTGAACATTAGGAGTTCCCAAGCTACATAATAAATGGTGCTGCATTAATAGTTTCCCCAGTACAAAACCAAAGTTGTGTGGAAAAACAACACCTATTCTGCCGGACAGAGCGTGCAGTAAAGTTAAATGGTTCATGTGAAAACGTGAAAAAAAAACCATTTGTAAGATCTGGCTTTGCTTATCAAGATTATTTTTGCTAATTAGTTTAAGATCCCGATTGAAAGTAGTTAGGTTCAAGGATAAGAATTTAGATTAGATAACATCTTTCACAAGCTAAAGCTTCAATTGAAACACTTTTGATCTAATAAGGAACTAATCCTAAAAGCAGTGACTGAAAATCAGCCGAAACAGCAAGTAGCCAATCAAAGTAAGAGGTAGCTGAAATCCCTCCCCGAAACTCATGATCCGATCAGTGCTAAGTCCATGCCTTCTGCATGCTGTACGTTGCAAAGGTTATACAATACAGGGCAGTGGTTTCTGCGAACAAAATATTAATTATATAAATGACCACTTTGAAAGGTTTTATTTTTACAAACGAAGTTTTATTCGGGTACAGAGAGAATGGGTTGATTTATTTAATTGCAGCAAATGTTCAGCCAAGAAAACAAAAGATGGTTAAAATACACCGGCAAGATCTAATTGATTGTGCTGGAAAGTAGAACGATTCCTCAAAGTACCGTAGCTTACTTTGTAAATAATGTACAAAAACCCAATTATTTTGCTTCTTATTCATATAAAGCAAGATTTCGCAAAACTGTATTCTGTATCGCGTATTAATTTAACGAATATAACTGAACTCCCAATGTGTTCGTGACAAATTGTAACATTTTTCGATCAAGGGACTGGAACCCACATTGATAAGTAAAAGCCTGCCTACAATTTGTAAAATTACATACAATTTAACTTTATCTTTATAGAGCCAAAAAGGGCTTTGAATTAATCCCTAGGCGAAAATACTGACCTGATATATGGGCCAAATGCGGCCAGAAGAAGAGCAGCAATTGCGGAGATCCCAATGATGGTGAATAAGACCGGCATCTTCAGTGAGTGAATGATCTGCAGGAAAGAGCTCGGGCAATCCCCGGGACCGGAAGCGGCTGGGACTACAACCCCCAGAATGCACGGGGCCGCGCCGTCCGTCTCCGTCTCCTTCCCCCCAACCCCCGGGGGCTTAGAGATTCGGTTATTGCCCTTTTAGTGGGGAGATGACGATCTGAAATGGTGGCTGAAGCAGTAAATAACGATGTTGATAAAACCTCAGGGTTTTGTGGTGGGGTGTTGTTGTGTGTATATTGTCATGTGATTGCGGAAGGAGGCGGGGCCTGAAAAGTCGGAAGTTGTGTCGCTGGCGGCTGTTTGTTTTGTACCAGATCGAGTTTAAATCACTTTAAAGATGTCATCCGAGGAGTTTGAGAAGATGCACGAAGCCTTTGGTAGTGTTTTCGAGGAACTGAGGTGTCAATGTGAGCGTCTGCCTAAATATTCAGGAGGTGAGACTGAGAAATGCTGCTTTTTCTTTATGAGATTTGAGCGTAGGCCATTCAGTCCATCGAGTCTGCTCTACCATTCAATGATATCATTGGCTGATCTGACCCTTCTTACGAGAAGTTTCCCATTTGCTCCCCTTTAGGGAGACATTCCCTCTCACTGTGTACAGCCTGTAATCAGTCCTCGCCTCCATATGTTCTGCGTATAGCCCTGGCCTGTACTGGCCCTGCGTACAGCGCCGGTCCTGCACAAAGTACTGGCCCTGCGCACAGCGCCGGTCCTGCACAAAGTACTGGCCCTGCGCACAGCGCCGGTTTGCATGCGGCAAAGTCCAACAATGAACACCCTTTTGGACTCCAGTTCCGGTTCAAAACTAGCTGGCACTGTAACTTTGTGAAATCATCAACATGGAAAATGATAACCAAAACAGTTAGCCCTTCCTCTCCCTAGCCCGAACATCTTTTCTCTGCTTTGTGATGATACAATGGCTTAAGAGGTGTATTTTGTCCTGTTTTTCTTTTATGAAGAAAGGTTGAGACTTAGGCGCTCAGCGGTCTGCTCAAAGATAATTAAACGGCTTGCGAGGACTTGGGTTTTTTTTAAAGTTGGAGCAATAGAAGCAGCCTGAATGGGTCGGGTCAAACTCCCACAGAACCAGGATTTTTAGTTTTAGCCTTCTGCAGTTGCTGGTGTTTTGTTGCTAGAATTGCATGTGAGACAATCTATTTTACTGAATTTACCTTTCTCAACAGTGTGTTTATGGGATGTTACTATATTTGAACAGTTAAATAGTAGTTAATATATACTTTATTTTTTTAAGCATTTTCATAGAGTTACAGTTAAGCCAATTCTTTCCTTTTCTTTTTATTTTGTCTGTACTTTAACTGTAGTGTAAAAATAAAGCATGTTTTGCTTAAAGTCGAGTAGTTTGACTAATTGAATTGCATCTGGAACAATGCCTTACACTTGCCTTTTTAAAATAAGAAAAAGTTGGGGTAGGCTATCTTATCAATATATTTTGAGGGGGTTTGGTCTGGTTGATAACAGCTACAAACCATCTTTGACTTTATTATTTACAACCCTGAGATGGGTGAGATACTAAATGAATATTTTGCAACAATGTTTACTGTGGAGAAGGATATGGAAGATAGACAACTTGGGGAAATAAATAGTGATATCTTGGAAAAGTGCCCAAGTTACCGATGAGGTGGTACTGGATGTCTTAAAATGCATCAAAGTGGATAAATCCCCAGGACCTGATCAGGTAGGCTAGGGAAGTGATTGCTGGTCCCCTTGCTGAGATATTTGTATCATTGATAGCCATAGGTGAGGTGCCGAAAGACTGAAGATTGGCTAACGTGGTGCCAGTATTTAAGAAAGTTGGTAAGGAAAAGCCAGGGAACTGTAAACCGGTGAGCCTGCCATCGATGGTGAGCAAGTTGTTGGAGGGAATCCTGAGGGACAGGATTTACATGTATTTGGAAAGGCAAGGACTGATTAGGGATAGTCAACATGGCTTTGTGCATGGGAAATCGTGTTTCGCAGACTTGATTGAGTTTTTTGAAGAAGTGACGAAGAGGAACGGTGTATGTGGTCTATATGGATTTCAGTGAGGTGTTTGACAAGATTCTGCATGGTAGTCTGGTTAGCAAGGTTAGATCACATGGCATACAGGGAGAACTAGCCATGTGGATAGAGACTGTCTCCTACCTTTGAGCCAGAGAGTGGTGCTGGAGGGTTGCTTTTCAGACTGGAGGCCTGTGACCAGTGGTGTGCCGCTTTTCGTCATTTTCATAAATAATTTGGATGTAATGCCACCAAATTGGTGTTTAGTGGACAGCCAAGAAGGTTATTTCAGAGTACAACAGAACCTCGAACAGGTGGGCTGAGGTGTGGCAGATAGAATTTAATTTAGATAAATGTGAGGTACTCTGTTTAGTAAGACAAACCAGGGCAGGACTTACACACCTTAACAGTAAGGACCTGGGGAGTGTTGCCGAAGAAAGACACCTTGGAGTGCAGGTTCACAGTTCCTTGAAAATAGAGTTAGAGGTAGACAGGATAGTGAAGAAGGCATTTGGCACACTTGTCTTTATTGGTCAGTGCACTGAGTATAAGAGTTGGGAAGTCATGTTGTGGCTGTACAGGACATTTGTTAGACCACGTTTGGAATGCTGTATTCAATTCTGGTCTCCCTGCTATAGGAAGGATGTTGTGGGACTTGAAAGGGGTCAGAAAAGATTTACAAGGATGTTGCTATGTTTGGAGGGTTTGAACTATAGGGAGAGTTCGAATAGACTGGGGCTATTTTCTCTGGAGCGTTGGAGGTTGAGGGGTGACCTTTATAGAGGTTTATAAAATCATGACGACCATGGATAGGGTGAATAGCCAAGGTCTTTTTCCCAGGGTTGGGAAGCCCAAAACTAGAGGGCATAGGTTTAAGGTGAGAGAGGAAAGATTTTAAAAGGGATCTAAGGGCAACCTTTTCACACAGAGGTGGTGCGTGTATGCAATGAGCTGCCACAGGAAGTGGTGGAGATTGGTACAATTATAACATTTAAGGCATCTGGATGGGTACATGAATAGGAAAGACTCAGAAGGATATGGGCCAAATGCTGGCAAATGGGATGAGATTAATTTAGATATCTGGTCAACATGGACGAGGTGGACTGAAGGGTCTTCTGTTTCCATGCTGTACAACTCTGACTCAAGTGGGCAAAGATTGTGCAAATTGAGTTTAATGTAGGAAAATGTGAAAATTTGTTTAGGCAGGAAGTATAAAAAAGAAACGTACCAACTAAAATTTAGCATACCTTTAGTGATAGTTACATTGGTGCTGACTTGGAGGGCCGAAGGGCCTTTTCTGCGCTATATAAATCGGAGTAAACAGTGAGAAGTTGCAGAGCTGTAGATGCAGGGTGGATCATTTTGCATGAATTGCAAAAGGTTGGTATGCAGATACAGTTAAGTAATTGGGGAAGCTACTAGAGTGCTTTCACTTACTGCAAGGGAATTTGAATACAAAAGCAGGGATGTTATGCTTCAGGTATACTACTGAGGCACAATGCACAGCATTGGTCACCTTACTTAAGGAAGCACGTAAATACCTTGGAAACATTTCAGATGAGAGTAAAACCTGAATGGTGGATTGTCTTGAGGAAATATCGGATAGGCTAGGCTTGTATCTACAGAGGTCTAGAAGAGTGAGAGGTAACAACTGAAACGTGGAAGATCTTGAGGAATCTTGACATTGTGGATGCAGAGAGAATGTTTCCTCGATAGATTCTTGTTAAGCAAGGGTATGAAAGTTTATCGGGTACGAGAGAACGTGGATTTGAGTTTACATCAGATCAGCGCCAAACTATTGAATGGAGGAGCAGGCTGAAGGGGCTGAATGACCTATTCTTGTTTGTACGTTCAGAGATATTCCAGGATTTTGACCCAATGATATTGAAGTTGTATATTTCAAAGTCACATGGTGTCTAGCTGGGAGGGGAACTCATGGTGGTGTTCCCTTGCATCTGCTGCCCTTGTTCTACTAATGGATACTGCTACTATGGATTTTGAGGTGATACACACTGATGCCACGGTGTGTCAGTGGTGGATGGACTGAATATTTAAGCTGGTGGACAGGGCGTTGATCGGTTGGGAATGATTTGACTTTGAAATAGGCAAGGCAGCTGAAATGTTGGCCTTTTCTTTTGAAGAGAATAGAGTATAACAGTAGTGCTGTTTTGCTGAAACTATGCAAAACACTAATCAGACCACACCCAGAATACTATTAACAATTTTTTGTCTCCTTTTATTTAAGCAATGGGGCATTCCAGAGAAGGTTCACTAGGCTGGTCCCAGGTATGGAGTTATAAGGTTATAAGATCATAACTGTCTTACAAGGAGAGATTGAGTGGGTTGGAACGGTACTCTTTTGAGTTTAGAAGAATGAGGGGCTACCTTATTGAAACATACAGGATTCTTAAGGCTCTTGGCAGCATCCATCTCAAATTCTATTCTCTGTATTTCACCGTGCACTTCCTTTCTCCAACTATTTCATTCTGTACCTCTCTTCAATCGGAACACAGCACCCAAAGCTGACTGACGTTCTCGTCTCACAAGCTGCAATTTTCACTTGGTCTTTTAAATTCGATCACTTTCGATTCACAAGTGGTTAATTGCAATTCATGCTAGATTTATTATCTGCCAGTGAAATGCCACGTTAGCACCGATCAGGTTATCAAATTATATTTTGACATCCTTTCCCAAAAAAATGCCTGCGATCAAGTAAAATCTAGAAGGTCAAGTGAGAACTTCAAAAAGACGACGACAATGGCTGTTGGAAGGAGTACTGGAAGAAATTAGAGTGAAGACAGAAATAGATGGTGTCACTCTGGAACAAGTAGTAAAATTTGTTCTAATTAGAACTGGTGTTCACAAAAGGTAGTGGACTTAATCCTGAAGTCACAGGATTGAAATTGTATAATTTCTAGAAAGACAATAACAACAAGATAACTCAGGCTTGTAACAAGAAAGAAAATGGATAATATTTACATTCTATCCATTTTCCTGCGTGCTTCCAGAACCTGGATAACACAGATCCATGAAAAATACTTGAAGCCTTTGAAATGTGGATGTT